TGAAGAGTGAGGAGAAAAGTGAAGAGTGAGGAGAGGAGTGAAGAGTGAGGAGAGGAGTGAAAGAGTGAGGAGAGAAGAGTGAGGAGAGGAGTGAAGAGTGAGGAGAGGAGTGAAGAGTGAGAAGAGGAGTGAAGAGTGGGGAGAGGAGTGAAGAGTGAGGAGAAAAGTGAAGAGTGAGGAGAGGAGTGAAGAGTGAGGAGAGGAGTGAAGAGGAGGAGAGGAGTGAAGAGTGAGGAGAGGAGTGAAGAGTGAGGAGAGGAGTGAAGAGTGGGGAAAGGAGTGAAGAGTGAGGAGAAAAGTGAAGAGTGAGGAGAGGAGTGAAGAGTGAGGAGAGGAGTGAAGAGTGAGGAGAGGAGTGAAGAGTGAAGAGGAGAGAGGAGTGAAGAGTGAGGAGAAAAGTGAAGAGTGAGGAGAGGAGTGAAGAGTGAGGAGAGGAGTGAAGAGTGAGGAGAGGAGTGAGTGAAGAGTGAAGAGTGAGAGAGAGTGAAGAGTGAAGGAGTGAGAGAGAGAGTGAAGAGAGTGAAGAGTGAGGAGAAAGTGAAGAGTGAGGAGAGAGTGAAGAGTGAGAGAAGAGGAGTGAAGAAGAGGAGGAGTGAAGAGTGAGGAGGAGTGAAGAGTGAAGAGTGAGGAGAGAGTGAAGAGTGAGGAGAGGAGTGAAGAAGTGAGAGAGGAGTGAAGAGTGAGGAAAGGAGTGAAGAGTGAGGAGAGGAGTGAGTGAAGAGAGTGAGAGAGGAGAGTGAAGAGTGAGGAGAGGAGTGAAGAGTGAGGAGAGGAGTGAAGAGTGAGGGAGAGGAAGTGAAGAGTGAGAGTGAGGAGAGGAGTGAAGAGGTGAGGAGAGGAGTGAAGAGTGAGAGAGAGAGAGTGAAGAGTGAGGAGAGGGAGTGAAGTGAGGAGAGGAGTGAAGGGTGAGGAGAGGAGTGAAGAGTGAGGAGAGGAGTGAAGAGTGAGGAGAGGAGTGAAGAGTGGGGAGAGGAGTGAAGAGTGAGGAGAGGAGTGAAGAGTGAGGAGAGGAGTGAAGAGTGAGGAGAGGAGTGAAGAGTGAGGAGAGGAGTGAAGAGTGAGGAAGGAGTGAAGAGAGAGGAGTGAAGAGTGAGGAGAGGTGAAGAGGAGAGGAGTGAAGAGTGGAGGGAGGAGTGAAGAGTGAGGAGAGGAGTGAAGAGTGAGAGAGGAAGTGAGTGAGGAGTGAGAGTGAGAGGAGTGAGAGTGGGGAGAGGAGTGAAGAGTGAGGAGAGGAGTGAGAGTGAGGAGAGGAGTGAAGAGTGAGGAGAGGAGTGAAGAGTGAGGGAGAGGAGTGAAAGTGAGGAGAGGAGTGAAGAGTGAGGAAGGAGTGAAGAGTGAGGAGAGAGTGAAGAGAGTGAAGATGAGGGAGAGGAGTGAGAGTGAAGAGGAGTGCGAAGAGTGAGAGGAGTGGAGGAAGAAGAGAGTGAAGAGTGAGGAGAGGAGTGAAGAGTGAGGAGAGGAGTGAAGTGAGTGAGGAGAGGAGTGAAGAGTGAGAGTGAAGAGTGAGGAGAGAGAAGAGTGAAGAGGGAGTGAAGGAGGAGAGGAGTGAAGAGTGAGGAGAGGAGTGAAGAGTGAAGAGGAGTGAAGAGTGAGGAGAGGAGTGAAGAGTGGGAGAAGAGGAGTGAAGAGTGAGGAGAGGAGTGAAGAGTGAGGAGAGGAGTGAAGAGTGAGAGTGAGAGTGGAAGAGGAGAAGAGTGAGTTGAAGAGTGAGGGAGTGAAGAGAGAGAGGAGTGAAGAGTGGAGGAGAGGAGTGAAGAGTGAGGAGAGGAGTGAAGAGTGAGGAGAGGAGTGAGAGTGAGGAGAGGAGAAGAGTGAGGAGAGGAGTGAAAGAGTGAGGAGAGTGAGTGAGAGGAGTGAAGAGTGAGGAGGAGGAGTGAAGAGTGAGGAGAGGAGTGAAGAGTGGGGAGGAGTGAAAGAGTGAGGGAGAGGAGTGAAGAAGTGGGAAGAGGAGTGAAGAGTGAGGAGAGGAGGAGTGAGGGAGAGTGAGGAGAGGAGTGAAGAGTGAGGAGAGAGTAAAGAGTGGGGAGAGAGAAGTGAAGAGTGAGGAGAGGAGTGAAAGAGTGAGGAGAGGAGTGAAGTGAGGAGAGGAGTGAAGAGTGGGGAGAGGAGTGAAGAGTGAAGGAGAGGAGTGAAGAGTGAAGGAGGAGTGAAGAGTGAGAGAGAGGAGTGAAGAGTGAGAGGAGTGAGATGAGTGAGGAAGAGGAGTGAAGAGTGAAGTGAGTGAGAGTGAAGAGGGAGTGAAGAGTGAGGAGAGTGAGTGAAGAGCTGAGGAGAGGAGTGAAGAGTGGGAAGAGGAGTGAAGAGTGAGGAGAGGAGTGAAGAGTGGGGAGAGGAGTGAAGAGTGAGGAGAGGAGTGAAGAGTGAGGAAGAGAGTGAAGAGTTGAGGAGAGGAGTGAAGGAGTGAAGAGTGAAGAGTGAGGAGAGGAGTGAAGAGTGGGGAAGAGGAGTGAGAGTGAGAGGAGTGAAAGAGTGAGGAGAGGAGTGAAGAAGTGAGGAGAAGGAGTGAAGAGTGAGGAGAAGAGTGAAGGAGTGAAGAGTGAAGAGTGAGGAGAGGAGTGGAAGAGTGAGGAGAGGAGTGGAAGAGTGAGGAGAGGAGTGAAGTGAGGAGAGGAGTGAAGAGTGAGAGAAGGAGTGAAGAGTGAGGAGAGTGAAGAGTGAGGAGAGGAGTGAAGAGTGAGGAGAGGAGTGAAGAGTGGGGAGAGGAGTGAAGAGTGAGGAGAGGAGTGAAGAGTGAGGAGAGGAGTGAAGAGTGAGGAGAGGAGTGGAAGTGTGAAGAGTGAGGAGAGGAGTGGAAGAGTGAGGAGAGTGAAAGAGTGGAGGAGAGGAGTGAAGAGTGAGGAGAGGAAGTGAAGAGTGGGGGAGAGGAGTGAAGAGTGAGGGATGAGTGAGGAGAGGAGTGAAGAGTGCAGGAGAGGAGTGAAGAAGGGGGAGAGGAGTGAAGAGTGAGGAGAGGAGTGAAGAGTGGAGTGAGAGGAGTGAAGAGTGAGGAGAGGAAGTGAAGAGTGAGAGGGAGAAAAGTGAAGAGTGAGGAGAGGAGTGAAGAGTGAGGAGAGGAGTGAAGAGTGAGGAGAAGGAGTGAAGAGTGAGAGATGGAGTGAAGAGTGAGGAGAGGGAGTGAGAAGTGAGGAGAGGAGTGAAGAGTGGGAGAGGAGTGGAAGAGTGAGGAGGAGAAAGTGGAAGAGTGAGGAGAGGGAGTGAAAGAAGTGAGGAAGGAGGAGTGAGGAGGAGTGAAGAGTGGGAAGAGGAGTGGAAGAGTGAGGAGAGGAGGGATGAGGAGAGGAGTGAAGATGAGGAAGAGGAGTGAAGAGTGAGAGAGGAAGTGAAAGAGTGAGGAGGAGGAGTGAAGAGTGGGGGAGGAGAGAAGAGTGAGGAGAGGAGTGAAGAGTGGGGAAGGAGTGAAGAGTGAGGAGAGGAGTGAAGAGTGAGGAGAGGAGTGAAGAGTGAGAGAGGAGTGAAGAGTGAGGAGAGGGTAAGTGGAGAGGAGTGAGGAGAGGAAGTGAAGAGTGAGAGAGAGGAGTGAAGAGTGAGGAGAGGAGTGAAGAGTAGAGGAGAGGAGTGAAAGAGTGAGGAGAGAGTGAAGAGTGAGGAGAGGAAAGTGAAGAGTGGAGGAGAGGAAGTGAAGAGTGAGGAGAGGAGTGAAGAG